ATTTGTTGCAAATGGGTTTACTTGACAGAAAATTTATTATTTCATTGTTTTTTTGTTTTTTTTTATACATAATTAACACCCTTAATATAATAAATAATATATAATGATAAGCACACAGGTTTTGATGCCATCTTGTTTTTTATTTAATTTATTTTAAACAAAAATAAGAAATGCCAAACTATAGACGAATGAATACAAATTTTAAACACAGCTTTTAAAGAAAAATAATAAAGTAACCCCCACGGAAACAAATATCATATCTTAGCTTTTCTAATCTGACAGATGTGTATATTACAAATAGTAAATAGTATTGGTATGTTTTTCTTTTCAAAAAAATACAGTGTTACGTACATTTTGTTTGAATTTCGTTCATTACCCTTGTTTGATATTAATATAATGACCAGTGCCGTTATTGACAGTCAAATGTGGATGAAAATAGCGTTCGTGGTCGTTTATTATGTTTATATATAACGAAGTTTGCTCCTTCAATGTCAAATTTTCACCATAAACGATATCCACCGTATATTTATTTGCAATTTAAAAAAAAACACCAGACATAATAAAAATATTACCTGACTTCTCCCTGGATTTTCCCTGTTTTAAACATTCCCTGACTTTTCCCATTTTTCCAGGTCAATCGCCAACCTGAATAAATAACTGGTTTAAAAAACTGGCAAATCAATATCTCATGATGTGAAGGCAAGGAGAATAAATGGGCGGATCAAATCAACAAAGATGCAATAGAGCCGCATGTAGATAACTGGAGAGCAATAGCTTAAGACAGGTAGAGGATTAAGAAGACTGGTTCAGACAGCATAAGATCTGTAAAACCAAATGAACGAAAACTCTTGTTAAATTTAAAAATAAATAAATTAAACAAATTTATGAATATTAAACAGCTTCCTAGACACCACGTTGCAAATTTATAATTATACTCTTTAAACAATTGTCCGTTTGTTAGAACTAATTAATGGAAAATTAATTTACAATTCATAAATGCAGTAATTATTAAATCAATACGCCACCTTAATAGATTTCCTAATGGAAATGCAAATATTATCTCAAAAGTATCCATAGTTCCAATTTCTCGACAATTAAATTTTAGTTGATATTTGGAAAAATAAAAAAAAATAATTTATACATATGAGTAATTCTGATATTAGACGCCATTTTCGAGGCCAAAGGAGGGCTTTCTGAAAAAAAAAATCATCGTTTTGGCCTTTTTGGTGCCCAAGAGACTCTTTTTGAATTTGAAAATAGTTCTTAAATAATTGATATTTAAAAAAATGAACTAAAAATTTAAATAGTACTAATAATCATTTATGAAGAGCAGATTCATTAAGTTTCCTAAACGCTTTTAAACCGTGCTTCCGATTCTTAAAACCAATAATTTCAAAACTCGATTCCATTTTTGTAGCCAAACTTTTAAGGGAAAATAATTTAGCATAGTTATAATTTAAAGAGAAGTTATTCATAGACCGCACGCCAACAGACACATACATGGAAGACTTAAAATAAATGGATCCAATAAACTCATTTCTCTTGATGAAGACCTACAACATTGGATGAAACGTCCTATATCCAATAAATATTACACCAAAATATTACGTGTAATCCCTTTTTGAGGGATAATAACAAATATTTATATTAATACAAACATAATACCCGAAATGCAGTGAGATAAATTGGAATAACAGTAATGGACAAGAAATATTATGTACAAAATTTGAGGCCATGTTAAGTAGGTTCCGGTTTAGCATTCTTGAACTTCTCATTGGTTAATAATCATTTATCCACACAGATATATATTTTTGAAGTGAAAACTTCTTTAGCAGCATTTTGCTCTTTTTTATGGAGACTGAATTAGATTAAGTCGTCAGATCTACGATGTGTAACGCTTGGGTAAAGTCGGCTGGAGTCGACTAATTGAAGGTTTTTTTTTGTAATATGGATTAAAAGAGGGGTGCCCTTTCCCTCCCCCAAGGTACATGGCGCAAGAACCTACTCCTCCTCTCCTTCCAAGATATTGTATTGCTCACTTTTTCTTAAAAACAGAGTAAGCTAAGGTAGAATTAGAAAAATTGTAGATCATATACAATTACACTTGTAACGGCATGTTTCATGTATTCCTCCCTTTCTATCTTAGTCCAAAAATCCACAATGTTTTCACCTCTCAAAATTTCAAAAAACAGTCAATACAAGCCTCCCTCCCCTCAAAATTTTGATGGCGCGCCCTTACGCCCTGGATTAAAATATCACAAAAACTAAAAATTGGACCTGCATATTGTTAGCGAGGGAAATATTCATCATTTCATCCTTTTTTTAATGAGCTATTATTAAAAATTTTATCTTAACGCAACGCTGTTTTAAATAGGAGAAATGGAAAAAAATAGTGTCGAAAACCGATTGGTAACGAGTTTTATTCAATATATGGATTAAAACATCACAGATACTAAGAACGGACCTGCATGCTGTATATCCTTATAAGTCGTCCTCTTTATAATGAGTTATTATTTATAATTTATATTTCATATTATTAATCTCGTCTTGTTGATGTTTTCACTTGAATGATGTTTCACAATGAAATGAATATTATGAATCAAATTTTGACTTAGATGAATGGTTGTTTAAATTGTTTGAGTTGTAATTTTAAGCCAAGTGCTTATAACATTTGTTTTGTGTTTTAATCTGATTTCTATTTTCCTTTTCATTTAAATAATGTTTGTTTGTTTTTAAATGGTGTTACTTTTTTAGTATACTTTCACTGAAAATATTTTATATATTCTTAAATTTTGAGTAAAGTAATTTTTGGATATATGTGATTTTTATTTTTTGTTCATAATTAATATTCTTAACGGACCTCGTCCAAGAATAAGATTTATTTTATATTCTATTCTATTCTATATTGTGGTCGGCAAAGCACACACTCTGCTGGATTTACAAAAGTAAAATTACGAAACCGTGTCAATTAAGTACATTTTTTTTTCTTACCCTCCAAAATGTTTATTGAAACAATTACATATATAGTATTAAGTACATTTTCAATCGTCTATTTTTATAAATTAATCGCATTGAAAAAAAAAATTGCATTCAATGGAATTAAAACTGTGTATCTGTCACACATAAAATTATATTTTAAGATATTTTTATTTACCACCAAAACATATATATATATATATATATATATATATATATATATATTTGATTCTCTACTATAAATACAAGAATGTTCTGTTCACAGTTCAATATGTGAAAATGGTGATTCATCATTCCTCTATGGTGACTAAACTAATAAATAAACTTTCGTTCTATATTTCGCTATAAACATTCTATACATATTTGTTGATTCGATTTATCTATTTAGTTTTTGTCCTATCACAAGGTCTCCTGCCTAATATTCAGCCAGTCATTGTTATGTAGAAGTTTCTGATGGATTGCTCTGAGCTACACGCCTTCACCAATCTTGCCTTCATGTTGTGAGATATTGATTGTGCAGTTTTGGTTTATTATTTTCAATAATCAACCATTGTGATAGACCGAAAAAATTCAAAAACTTAACCCCCTCTCAAAATTTGAGATTTCACGTTTTAGGATGCGTAGAATTTGAAAAACGAATAAAAAAATTTTTGTCCATCCGCCGTCCGCGCATTTTCTTCGAAACTACTGGACCGATTTTTTTTTCAAATTTGGATATAAAATCAGTGGTCACCCGAGGATGATCCTCCTTCATCGACAGTACTATCCGCCTTTTATTTTCAAAATACGTTGCAATAGACTGTAGCTCCTAAACGAATGTACCAATTTCAATTAAACTTCGCCAAAGTCATTTTCGCGACGCCCTATAAAACATACTTCAACGAAAAGAAGTTGGAAAAAAAGTTACGAGGGATGGTAAAATTAGATTCTGAATAATTCAAAAAGTTTACACTTTTCTGTCGATATTGTATATTGTTTTTTAAAAGTTTACGGAATTTCCTACAAAAAAAAAAAAATCTTTATAATCCGACAATTAGGAGCAAAGATATGGTCTTCAGTTCTTTTTTATAGGTTCTACTCCAAATATTATTTCATTTGTTTATTTTTTAAATTTTGAATGTGTTACTGAAGTAATGCTATTTTTTTTAGCATATTACTAATGATGAAAAACAAAAATTTAGTCCAATAATTGGAATGACCTTTTATTTATTTTTCTTTGTAATTAGGAAAAGTTACGTAAACAACAAAACTTTAAATACCTACTTATGATAACACACTATCGACCATCACATAGCACTCTACTTTACTTCCGATTTCATTTTAAACTATATGGACACAATAAACTGAACGATGGATGACCACAACTGATATGGCCATCAGGAGGTGACTAAAAAGGAGCTGGATGAAAGATCTTCTTTCCTTGAATTAATTGATTAATTAATTAATAATGACTTGGTAAAGATACTGCTAGATACTATTCTTCCTCATGCCTATAATGTATTTTCAATAGCACTTTTTTCTCCAGTTTAGAGACGTATTCGATTCCTTCTTACACAATTGGGTGCAGGAACTAGCTCATTTGAGTTAGGCGCTAGCTTTCTGTTATTTATTTAACAGACAAAGCTGAGCATCAACAGAAGATGTAGATATTTAGAAAATTGTATTTAAATTTCGTCAAAATTATTAAACTTTTATCAAAAAAAATGTCCATAATCTTCGAATCACCCATATATCAGACATCCCCGAATATTATGAAACAGATTTAAAACGCTCTCTCGTCCCCTGCGACGGACTTATGTGCAGTTCAAAAATCTTTTCCGGGAAAATGAGACAAAAATACGACAGTAGCGTATGTAAACATTATGACGTTTAATTGGATTATATAAAATTGCAAGTTTATTTCCGACGTATACGACAGAATCTAATTTAAATAACGCATTGCTATTGGCTGTTAATCAGATTTTTGTTTATTTATCTCGATGCATCACCTAATGTTAGCACAAGTGTCTGATACAGTAAACAGTGTACGGCCTACTTAAGCACTTTCAGACAGCTAATGTTCTGTGATCTGTCCGCAAGATGAAGATCCCTACGTTGCTAATCTGTGTGGTGATCCTGTCAGTCGTCTTCGCCGACTCTTCTTCCGACTCCAGTTCTGGAGAGAAGAAGAAGAAGAGCAAGAATTACAAGCTAAGAGCCGGGTCCGGATCTAACTCAGGATCTGATTCTGGCTCCGGATCTGGCGAAGGAAAGTCCAAAGGCAAGAAACAAAAAGGTATGTATTATTATTATTTTTTTTTCGAATTTCACTCTTAAATAAAATATTTGGCGTGTTTTCTCTTTAAAGTTCCATGACGTTTAGGATGCCAAGTTCAATCTAATTATTCTTAATGTAAAGTTACTGCGAATCGAAGATTTGAACCGCTTTGAATACTTTTACTAACCTGTATATATATATTTCTTAATCGACCTTTGAGTATTAAATTTAAACTTCACTATTTAATTGGGAATAAGGTCACCGAATTATTATTTAATAAACTAATGAATGTTCATTTCTTCTGTTTATTGACGTTTCGATCCCGGTATTTTCTTTTTATTAGTCCACCATGGGATCCTCTTCAAAGCTAGAATTTTAAAAAATAGAGCTCCGATCAGGCCAGGGACACACCGACTGGCCTCCTCGAAGCTCTATTTTTTAAAATTCTAGCTTTGAAGAGGATCCCATGGTTGACTAATAAAAAGAAAATACCGGGATCGAAACGTCAATAAACAGAAGAAATGAACATTCATTAGTTTATTAAATAATAATTAAGTGACCATATTCCCAATTAAATAGTGAAGTTTAAATTTATATATATATATATAATCTTTACAACTTTTCCTTAAAAGTACTAGTATATATATATATATATATATATATATATATATATATATATATATATATTTTAGTAGGCCCGTCCGAAAAATTAAAAATAAAATAAAATAATGCAACGTATCAAAAGGTAAAGAAATAAAATATTACTTTATCGATAAATATAATCGACAAAGAAAACTAAAATTAATTTAAATCTACATTTTTGTTTGGAACCAACATGTTTACAAATCTCAGTAAGCTGTATCTTTGCTAAAAATTGATCGATTTCGATGATTTTTTTTTTCTTTTGGAGGGAATTTAGTGATCTTTTATATAATCATGGGCACAACCAAGGGAAAAGTGTGTATTTTTTTAGTATAAATAAAGTTTGTTTTCTTTCATAACTTGTTTGCCTGAATTTTCGGGGTGATTAACCTGAAGGAGAAGGAAGCCTTCGAAATCGGTGGCTCAATCTTGAGATTTGGTGAAAAATTAACGATGATATGGCTTGCCGATCAAAAACAACGTCGATAAATAATATAAACTCCTCCTCTCTCGTTCATAGAGACCTCAAGTCGACGAAATGAGACATGTGTTCAATGACAGTACTACAATTAATGTAAGGTTGTGTGGATGCGAACCCTATGCCTTGCGTTATCTCGAAAATAGTACGTTTAAGAACGCAGGGCCTAATAGTTCCGGAGGAACTATCCGGGTCTTGCTGTACGCATAAAAATCTTCAAGGATCCAATTTGTCCCGTATCGATCTACAGACCTACCACCGTTCTAGTATCGAAGCCATGAAAGGAGATTATATTTGGTATCAAACCTATTTCGAGCCTTAGTGTAACAATATATATATATATATATATATATATATATATATATATATATATATATATATATATATATTTATTTTTTGTCCTACCCTACGTCACCTTTTTCTCAGGACAGGGATGAGGACGGAGGATTAATGCCAGTGTTAGTTAAAAGTCCTCCCTTTTTATTTATTATATTATCTGCACTTGTCAGGCAATGTGAGTTTAGCACACATGCTAACCTGCTCGGTATATATAGAAAGAGCTCAACATAGAGAATTTTTCAAGGAAGTTCATAGAGAATACAGACGAACGATAACTACGCCTAAAGGCGGAAGAAGTGGGAGTAATGCCGATAAGAACTACGCTATAACAATACAAATATAGATGTCGGCGTTATTTTAAATAACATGGGCCCTAACACCAGATAGAAAAATATTTTATATTATTTTAAACAAGATTTATGTTATTTATTTTTGCCTTTGCTTTATTTGGGTTTTTAGATTATTATATACAATTCTATTTCTCTTTTTTTGTGCGGAATAAGAAAAATATTGACTATGGTATTAAATAAGTTATACCCGCCAAATATCCTATATATTATTTCTAAAAGGTGTTTTTTTTTATCAAACCCAATGATTGACCACTCATTTTGAAGATATCCAGCTCCTTCTCAGGCGAAAAATAGTCATATTCCCCAAAATTTCTGGAAAAAAAGTTATGGAAGAAAAGAGACTTTATTTACGAATAACTCAAAAAGTATGCATTTTTCTCTTGATTTTACCGATGATAATTAGAAAGATTGCTAAATTACCATTAACACAAACAAAAAATCGTAAAAATCGATTAGAAATATGTATAATTTACTTTATTTTAATTTTATTTGCAATTAACCCATGATAATTAAGAAGATTACTAAATTACCTACAAAACAAAAAAAAAATCAGACAATTATTAACAAAGATACAGTCCATTAGTTTTGGTATACTCAATAATGTCTTCCTGTTTAAAGATATTGCATTTAAGAGTAGAATAGTCTACTACACTTTTTTTCCTGGCTTTTATAGTAACTTTATTATTTCATAAAGGCATTTGGTTGTTCTTACATTTTATTTTTTTTTAAGAATTTAGAATATCCTATGATGGAGCGATTATTTTGTCTTTATTACTTTTATTATCTTTCCAGTCAGCGTTTAAAAATAGATCTTAGCAAAGCAATTGGTATGAACATTTTGGTCTATTATGTTTAATGGAATATTGTAATCGACCAAGGAAAAATATTAATTCCTTCCTTACATAATACATAGGAACTATTTATTTCCATATTGTTTTAATATTTCTTCACTAAACAAAATTATCTGCGAATTTTATATTAAACTTACTAATTACTTAGTTACTAAATATATCAATAACGTATTTAAATATAATTACGTGCCTACAAAAAGTTTAGAAACGAAAAGAAATTATGGAGGGGGTTGAAAATTACATTTTTTTTTTTTTTATCTAAACTAAATAATGAAAATAATTAAACATACACGGCTAATAAGTTTATAATATACATATATACATTATAATTATAACGAAAACTTTACATGAATCACATTAAAAAAAATTAAATATACAAATAGTACAAAGTATATACAAACGAAAAAAACCAATGATTGTATTAACACATAATTAAATAAGTATAGTAATAAATGATAACAGATGGAATAATAAGTATGTAAACGCTTTAATTGTTAATGGATAAAAATCTAATATGAGTATTTGTTGAAATAATAACATAATTTACAACTTGTGAAATAAATAGCGTAAAATAGATAAGACATTTAAATTATTTTACTTTGCAGACATGTTCTGTATTCAAATTAATTACCAGAAACATTGCTGAATTTGCTTCTGTGAAACCTAACCTTTCATAATATATTTTTATAATTAGAAAATGATCTTTTTACATCCAAACGTATGTTAGAGGTAAATTTATAATATAATAATTCATAAAAATCCACTTATAATTACAGGGTTAGTGTCAATGTCGTTAAGAACAATTTAATCTTCGATATTAAAAATTGTATTAATAACTTCCAGAATTGTGGGCTTTATTTTATTTTATGGAGACTTCTTCCAGTTTTTTATTTAAAGTTTCAAATACTTGGTTGGTACCACTGGTTTTTCATCAGTTGTAAGAACTATTTCATGTTTTTTGTATTAAGTTTAAATCTAAGATTTCAACATTGATGGAAATGATGAAGATACTTTTGGCATTTTAAATAAACAGAAATGTGATCTCTTGCTAAGAGCGTAGGCAGCGAACTAAAATAGAAACCTGTACCACTACAACCCTTGAAGGGTCTTGGGTTCAGTACTATTTAGGGAAAGCATTGTTTCTTGGTCTACGGTTGTGCAAGGAGGTGATTTGACCGAGATCACTCTCAACCACCAGGTTTTTCGTCTTAATTATTTTAATTAAGAGTACCCACTTTATAGAAGCTGGGTACGCCTCAGGAGGGTTTACCTACCCAGGATCGCCCCACGGCCAATAAAACTGATTAAACTAAAATAGAATAAAAAGAAAAAAGAAACTTAGTATAATTTTTATGTGGGTCAAGAAGGGAAAACGGGTTTCTAGGAAATGAGGAACATCTATAAAGAGAATTATTAAAGAGTATAGCAGAAGTTAGGTATACCTATACAGTCTACAAATATGGTAGATTTGTTCAGTGAAAATATACCCAGGATTGTAATTTTGAATTGCATCTTTAATATTACATTTTCATTTTTATATATAAATAAATTTTAATAAAAGATGTAAAATTTTAATTTCTGTACTTTTTTGTTATTCTGAAGGGACTTCGTCCCAGAATAAAATTATTTTTCTATTCTATTCTAAATAAATATTCATTTACATACATATATATTTTTGTTTATTTCTTTAAATTATGCGGTTATATGTATTTATCTTCAAATATGCAAAATAAAATTTGGCTAATTGCATCACAGTGCACTAATTATTATAGATATTTGATCAGCGGTTAAAAATAATAACGCAAACAAAATATAAAATTGCATAAAAATCCGGGCATTGGTTATAGTGCATCACAAATTACTAAAACAAAAAAAGTGCCTACTTTAAAGTAGGCCAAATACATATTTGTTAAGTGCTTTAAAATAACACCAAACCTTTCATATAAGTGTGAAATGTTCCTATTTCTCAGAGCGATAATTCGTCACATTATTTAGTGATTTGATTTTATAAAAGGTTACTTAATGATTTTTTGCAATATACTCACAAAATACTTCTTGATGAAATCATTATATTTATTAGACAATATTAGACTGTTTTATATTTTTTTGATAATTGGGTTCATAACTAACAACAGTAATGTAAAAATTATTTTATTTCACACTATTTTAAGTAACTTGGAACTTTTTAAAAATCTTGATTTTACACTTTTTAAAATGTAAAAAAAAAAAATTTATACAGGGATTGCCAATCGTTAAGGACTTGATCATCATTATATATATTTTAAATAAATTACTTCTTATTTTTTCAGGACCCAGTCCTGTGATCCCAGCTGTAATGCAATATGAGAACGACAACCGTAAGTATTATATCAATATTATATCATAAGAAAAATATAATAAATAAATTTAATATATAAAGTCACTGCCTAATTTGGAAATTTTGTAATCTACTTGGTATTTAAGAAATAACTGAGTCGTTTATTCCCAAAATAAAAATACTGGGATACAATAGAATCGCATACCCAAATTAATTAATTGTATTGAGAGGGTGTCAAGTTACGAAGTGAGAATAAGAAGAGAAATAGTATAAATGATAATTTTTGTAGAGAACGGTTGATAAATTTAATGACATCAATAATTAATTGAGAGATTACAACAATACATTAAATCGAGATAGTATTGCCAATGAATGTTCTAATACATATAATATAATTATTAAGCTTCATAAAATAAAGTTCTTCTAAACACTATTATTCTCTTAGGGTGTGTAGAATTTCTAAATTTTTTAGTCGGGTTTTTGAAGTAAAAACTTATGCAAGCGCATTTTGTGGAGAGTGAATTAGATTGAGCCGTCAGATTTCCGATGAGTAATGATCGGGTAAAGTCGACTGGAGTCGACTAATTAAAATTTTTTTGGCACATAAATTAAAATATCTCAGAAATTAAAATATCTCAGAAACTAAAAATCGAGGAAATTGTTCAGCATTTTATAATCTCTGTAATGTGCTATTATTGAAAATTGTATCTTAACGCAACGTCGTGTAAGAGAGGCGAAAAAGAAAAAATAGTGTCGAGAACGATAACGAGTTTTATTGAAGATATGTATTAAAATATCTCAGAAACTAAAAATCGGACCTGCATACTGTAAGCGAGGAAATTACAGTATAAAGAGCATTTCATCCTCTTTATAATGAGCTACTATTTATAATCTATATTTGACAATAATCTTGACTTGTTGATGTCTTCACTTTTATTGTGTGGTCTAAAGCACACACCTTAGTTTTTTTTTAAAATAAAATATTACTACTAAATTTATTTTATTTTTTTTATTTGTATTGCAGTGGTGATACCAGGTGTAGAACAAGGCGTTACCACACGGAGACGTAAGTAATAATTATTTTTAAATTCTTAATGAGATTTGTTTTTCATTATTAAATCATAGTAATAACCTATTTTACTTAAAATATTCGGTAATATCGAGTATTGTTTAAGTAAAAAAAAAAAAATGTGAGTTCTAAAGCTCCATCTTCAAGGGCGGATTTTTTATTTTTGTTTGAGTAACGGTTAAATAGGGATTTAGTTATTTCATTAAATCTTACGTAAGGAAATATTTTTTTATTCCAATGGTTTATTATTTTCAAATATTTATAAATCTAATATGTTTGGCGTGCTATCAGAAAAAAATGTTAGCTAACACAGCTCAATGGTAACCCAGACATTTTTAATTTCTTTTTTTTTTTTTTACTATATATGTGGATAATTAAATTAATGTTCAAACCTAAATCAGGAATCGTCCAATAAATATATATTTTTGAGCAATTTAAAAAAAGGAAGAAAAAACTTGAAACTTATTTAATGAAATTTCACGAAGGAGGTTGTTTTCTTTTGAAAGAAATTTCATTGTCTTTAAAAATAATCTGATGAAACAAATTCAAATTTTGTGAAATGAAACAAATCGCCTAACTTAAATATCACGCTAAGTGAGGTGCCGCTGGGCACTGATGCCTTTCATGACAGGTGTGAATAAAAAAAAAAAAATCATTTATTTGCAAATAAAATTTTGTATGCATTATATTTTTTTACCTAATTCTTTTATTCAATGCTTCAAAATGCTGGATGGTATTCAGTTCCTAAAAAGATACTTGTCCAACGCCAACATAATTTGTTAACAATATTTTAATCTTCTGACTTTATTGGAAGGATTGCAGATATGTACAAAACTTTAAAAACGAGGGGAAAAGAAGAAAAACTTTGAATGGCCGAAATTATAACGAAAAAAAATGTATATATATATATATATATATATATATATATATATATATATATATATATATATATACAAACCTGATATCTCTGAAAAACCTATAGTTCTTTTCTAGAGATTCTAAAATATGCATAGAATATCAAAAAGTCGTATGTAAAAGTTGAGTTTTTTTACAGAAGAGAATAAAATCATACTATTTCTTTATGGTTTATTAGTATAATTTCACATTTTGTTTCTCTCTCCTATTTTCGTATTTAGTAGACTACTTATAGCAGTTGCAAACTAACAAATGTATCCTTTAGTGTAAATAGAATAAACATTAACATGATAAATTTGTTACATATGACATTTTGCAATAACAGTAGCGATATGCATCTCTACCACTCTTTAATGCCTTTCGATAAAGGGAACAATTATATTATTTTTAGGAAATATACAACAAAAGGATCAGCTGTACAACAAATTAATCAGCTGATTTTGGGACTTTGAAAGGGTGTATTTTTTCTCATTAAAATTTGATAATAATTATCCGAAATTAATTAACTATCGTATATTTCACTGTATAACACCAGATATATTATAATATATAATAATATAATATAATATACGAAGTCATAATCATTAAATTTTATTTGATTTTTTTTTTTAGCTAAACCATCATCAACACCAGTGACAACAATCGCACCTGCTACAACTGCAGGTAATATCTCTCTATTATATTTTTTTTTAATTAGAATTTTTCATATTTTATTTTATTATACTATTAAGAGAGTAGGAGATAACAGGAGCTCAACTTTTCTAGCTCTAGGCTCGATAGTGCAATTATCTTATGGCAATTATTTTACAAATCATACAGCTGTTCATATAATTAAGTATGTGTTGAACTCCTTGTACTTCATGCTCTCCTAATACAATATAAAGATTTTAAATAAAAAGTTTGTATAAAAGATGGTACTTTCATCTGGAGGTGGTAGTTTGATTTTACCACCATAAGTAACAGCAGTTATTTTCCGATCTAGACATTACCCCTTGAATAAAATATATTGATTTTTAAATTATATACAATATTATATTGTGATATAAATATAATAATTATGAAATAGAAAAGGAAGCACAATATAATTTAAAATGAAAATATTATAAATAAAAGATTCAAATTATTGTTGAAGAAAAAGTATAATTATGTATTAATATAAATAGGCAATAAGAGGTAATGTATAATACAGATTTTCAAAGAAATTAAAATTTGTCCGAACTGTGGTTTCTTTCAGTTTATTTTATGTTGATAAAAAATATTACAATCTGAACTACATAATATATGTAAATTTTTATTATTATTAAACACTTTATTCAGAAATATTACAATTTGTCACAGTTTAAGGACACTTATAATAGAGTTCAGAGATTGCATTCATACCGTATATACAAAAATATAAATAAATAAAGTAATAACAGAAAAGAATAAGAAAAAAGAACAAAAGAAAAAAAAAATATATATATACACATAAGTAAATAAAAATAGAAATAAAAGTAAAACAAACACCTTATATAAAACATACCTATATACATTATTTACAATTTGCCAGGTGATCTCCGAACCAATCCTGTCCCCTCCACATGTGGAGGGAAAAGGGAGGCTTAGGAGATCCCTACGCTTCTCCCTCAGCCACTTCACTGGTATTTTAAACCAGCGGAGGATGAGTAAGAGCGCTACAGCCACAGACACTCATGACTAGAGTGGAGAATCTGGCCATTGCTAGAACTCCAAAATATCCATATTTACAAAAGGTCTCGTGGCCACTGCCGCTTTAACCTACGAAGGGGATTGTAGGGATGGGTGGTGCTTGAATATATGTAAATTAAAGTTATAAAATTTGAGCAACGAGTAATACAATTAAATGAACAGTTGTATAACTTGTAAAATGGGGATTGGTCCGCCATTAGGCGTACTGGGGGTGCCCCCTCAGAAAAAGTTAAAAACGGTATTTTAAGATCTGTCTGTTCTTATCAACCAGATATCAATCTCCAGTTCCGATATCATCAAATAAACAGATTTTTACATTAATTACACTACAATGAGTTAAGCAAATGAAAACTGTTTACGAATAATTATTTCAGTTTTTATTTTTCTGATATGTAAATGGAATCAAATGTTTGGTTAGTTCGTGGCGGAGATATGCATGTTTATGTACATATAGATTTGCGTCACTCAATCAAAAGCATGCGTGCCGCATGCTCGAGATTAAGTATTCACGCGCAGCCTAACAGTGGGGCAAAACTGTAAATTTCTTTTAAAAGAGAAAACCATTGGCGTTCTGTAAAGAAATTGGTTAACAAGTTAACAACAGATATTTAACTTTTAGTCCTTGATCTAATAAGACTAACCCCACGAAGATTCAATCACTTCTGAAGATCACATGTTAAATGGATTTTTTTTTCGCTTGGCATTATAGACTTTTCTTGCCGACTTAAACAGCCGTCCACTAAATTTATTTTCAGTTATTCTGCATTCAGCTCTATTGCATATTTTTTATTATATTTACCCATATGCATTTTGGTCTTCCACGTGGTCTTTTGGCTTCTATTGAGGCATTCATTGTTATGCCGGGACTTCCAGATACTCTGCGCTACATGCCCCACCCATCTTAACCTCCGTACCTTCTGCCATGAAATACTGATTGACCATTTTCAGTAAGCAGCTTTTTATTGTCCTTTCTTCTCCATGCAATTTGATCCTAGATAGCACAAGTGATCATGCGGATGTTTTTTCTCTGAAATCTTTCGATATTTGTTTCTATGGCGCAGGTTAGTGTCCAGATATCACAGCCATATATATATATAAGGACATGCTTTATAAATCGAATTTGAATATCTTAGAACTTAAGAAGGATAAAACAAAATATATGGTTAGCTGCAAAAATGACGATACTACTGATATCGATATAGATATGTTTGAACAGGTAGAGAACTTTAGGTATCTAGGTTCTAAGAGAACTGGAAAAAAACGAAATTGAAGAAGAGATTAAGGTTAAGCTGAAGGCGGGAAATGCTTGTTATTTTTCTGTGAAAAATTACTTAGCTCTCTCCTCTTGTCCCAGAACTTAAAAATTAGAATCTATAAAACAATTATCTTGCCAACAGTTCTTTATGGATGCGAAACTTGGCCGCTTATATTAAGGGATGAGCAGCGTCTTAGAGTTTTTGAAAATAAAGTATTGCGTAGAATATTCGGACCGAAGAAGGATGAGTTAACCGGAGAGTTCAGACGGTTACACAACGCCGAACTGCGTGAGCTGTATCCGGGTAATATAATTGAGGTAATTTTATCGAGGCGAATCAAATGGGCTTCTAAAATTGTTGGGCTTAGTAACGAGAGAATTCCTAAAAGGTTAACATTTGCTGTGCCGAATGGTAAGCGTCCGAGGGGTAGACCGAAGCGAAGGTGGGAAGATTGCATTAAAGCCGATCTGAAGGGACAGGGTTTGGACGGCGAATGGTGGAGGGAGGTGTGTAATAAGTGATTGGTGGTTTAGCCATCGAACCTTCGGGTTCGCTAAGCCTTTTATTATTATTATTATAGAAAGGAAGAAGAAAGTACTGTTCACGCGTGTTATATACTGGTTTATTTCGGACAGTTTGTCATTCATCAATGTGTGTGGAGCTTTGGTATTTATAGTTTTTGTTTTTGTGGAGCCAAGGTATTTGAATTTTTCCTCCTCTATGGAACAATTTTCCTTCAACTCAAATCATATTATTGGGATGAAATTTTCAGCTTATGGTCATATATTTCGTTTAGTCTTCATTTACTTGTAGACTGGTTTGATCTATTTCTCTTATCAGTCTTAGCGAGTTTCTCAATTTTTACTTGATTACTTCCAAGGATAATGTGTACACTCCTTCGTCAATCACCAACTCACCAGAAGGCTGCTTTGAAATCAACAAATAGGGTGTGGACCTCCTTGATCGTTTTTCAAATACTTGTTTTAGTATATCAGAATATTATATTAGAATATACTTGTTAATTATATATACATAATTTAATTACCTTAATTCAATTAAATTATTTATTTGATTATCTTTTTAATTTCAGCTCCTCCAAATGTCTGGCAAACTGTAACCATCTGTGAGCACGACAGAAAGCAGGTTTCCTGCCCAGAAGGAACTATAATCGTTATAGATGACGCCTTCTACGGAAGAACTGACCTGACTACCTGCCCCAAGGAGGGTAAGATGTCCAATACGAATTGTAAATCAAGCACATCATTACCTATAGTCCGAGAGAAGTAAGCAGTACTTTGATTTCTTTAAGTTTATAAATAAAAAAAATGTCTCCGCAACAGTTCAATTAAAATTACAACCTTCGATTTCAGGTGCGAAGGAAAAACCTTCTGCGATTTATCATCGGCAAACAGCTGGTTCACAGATCCTTGCAAGGGAACTTACAAATATGTCAAAGTCGACTACCTTTGTCTAAAAGGTGATTAGGTTTTTTAAAACAATATTTCATTTTGCAAATATGAAATTTATAAAATATTAGTGCATGATTCAGGGAGAATATTTAATCAATGAAGTTCATTGCACTTATAAATTTTCAAATCATTAATCAATTAATATTTATTTGTTTTTGTTTTTTCAGAAATTCCACACAGGCCAGAACCCGAAGGTAAACTATCAATGATTAAATTTTTGTTTGAATGCTATTTAATGTTCATTAATAGGTTTAATTAGACAGTTGTATATTTCTAATTATTCAGCTTTGAAGGTATCTTTCCTTATTTTTTTTATTATTTATGGAGCATCCAGTATCAATCATTATATTGATATATCCATAAAATCCATTCATTATGTCAACCCATTATAGAGACCTGATGTGGTTGAAATTTTTCAATTATAACCTAACACCCACACACACGTGTATTAAACTCAGGATTCGAAATCTCTAGACCATGAGTTTTTTGCTGTCTCTATGAGAAAATGTATTTACTATAGTTTCCTAAATTTAAAAAAACAATCCTAAATTCAGGGCTGAGTTAATCGATGATATACTTTCATGCGCAGAATAGGATCCAATGCCATCGTTGAGCCAAACGCTGAGTTTGGGAACGCCCTAAATTGCAAATATAAAGTTACAATTTATGGTGATTATGAAATCTTGATATTTATTGGTTAAAAATAAAATTGTATTGGTTATAGAACCTGTTGCCATTGAGGAACCGACGACAGTTGAACAACCAACAACCACAGAGGCGCCAGTAACAACAGAAGAACCAACTACCACGGAGGAACCAGTGACAACTGAGGAACCCGTTACAACAGAGGAACCAACTACCACGGAGGAACCCGTTACAACAGAGGAAGCAGTAACAGAAGAGGAACCAGTAACTGAAGAAGAACCAGTAACTGAAGAAGAACCAGTAACTGAAGAGGAAGCAGTAACTGAAGAGGAACCAGTGACAGAAGATGAGCCAGTAACTGAAGAGGAACCAGTAACTGAAGAGGAACCAGTAACTGAAGAGGAACCTGCTACAACTGAGGAACCTGCTACAACTGAGGAACCAATTACTATCGCAGAGCCGGAGACTCCTGCCACTGAAGCACCAATTGTGGTTGAAATAGAAGCACCAAAACCTAAACCATCTAAACCAAAAATCATAATTGTAACATATCCAGCTCCTGGCGAATACCCACAACTCATCACTATTACCACTAAACCAGTCGATGGTCAAGGAAACTGCCAGGAAGTAACCATACCGATACCACCTGGAGCTGACAGTTCAAAACCTCAGAACATTATTGTCGCTTTGCCTCCTGACGATGCGTCCTCTTCTCCTCAGCAGATCGCCATTCCGTTCCCTCCTCCTAAGGGGAGCTACCAACCTGGCAAGATATCCATCAAGTACCCACAACCTGGTTCAAGCCAAAAGGACATAGTAGTAAGTGTACCTCCCACTCAATGCCCAGGCAGTCCTAAAGTGGTCATCATACCTGTCCCTGAAGAACTCCCCTCTTCCCAAAAAGACATCGTTGTTACCATTCCTAATGGCGATGGACAACCACCACAGACTATTACAGTCCCATACCCACCATCGCAGTCCAATCCCAAACCCTGCAATCAAAATATTTTCATTACTATTAATGAACAGAGACCTTACCAACCTCAGTACCCTGCCCAACCAAGTCCATTCCAACCACAGTATCCTGTTCAACCTAGTCCATTCCAACCTGGGTACGGTCAACCTCAACCACTTCAACCTGGGTACGGTCAACCTCAACCACTTCAACCTGGGTACGGTCAACCTCAACCACTCCAACCTGGGTACGGTCAACCTCAGGCACTTCAACCTGCTTATGGTCAACCTCAGCCACTTCAACCTGCTTATGGTCAACCTCAAGCAGGAGGACCGTGTGATCCACTTCTCAAAGCACTGAGATTGTGCCAAAGTGCTTTCTAAGATTTTTCTTCTTCATCTTTAAAAAACGGGTTGTACATAAATATAATAAAACTATTATCCATACATAGTATTTCTTTTTTCTTGTAACATTCGCCATTATTACAATTATCTCTATGAATCATTGCTGTTATATTTTCATCCAATGTGATAAAATATAAGGATTCTGTCTATTATTTCTAGTAATGCAAAAATGTGCATAAAACAAGTCATAATTAGTACAATAGATAGTATAAAAGTAGTATAAACAATTAAATAAACATTGAATTATAATTTATTTAAAAAACTATTCTGTATATGTTTCCTGTTGATTTTAAAATAGTTTTGTTGATGTCTCTCCTACTTTCATGATTGAGGGTATAATATCCATGATTCTTTTCTGATATTTTATTCCATACTTATATCGAAGGAAAAAAAATTTTGACAACTATGGCGAAATTTTTTATTTAAAAAAAATCTCGAAATCATTATACCATGCCGAATGGTAGAGAGTAATGGACACCTAGAATAAACTGCAAAAATCAGGTTTTAGTTCTATTATCTACCAATGACAACCAAATGGTAGGCTGATGTATCGAGCAATGTTTGTGTTCTACAATTAAAAAAAACTGTGTGAGCTGAGGGACATTCACAATATCATTCAGGGTTCTCATCGTTTCTGAAATGATCTCAGTTAACTTTTTTAAGGTATTATGTAGGTATTTGTTTCACTGTTAAATACCAAGTGTCTATTATTGTAATAATATACTGTGATATATGTAATACGCTATATTAAACTGTATAATTAATTACTTATTATCCCTCTAAGACTTATTATTGATCTGTTCTTTTAAAATCTATACAAATGAAAGTAAAATGATAAAAGTTGTACTAAGCATTTTTCTATTACATTGATTTGAAACCTCAAAAAAGTATGATCCTCTTCAAAAGTCCATAACCCTATAAAAATGAGCGCCCTAAAAAATTCAAAATGCAATCAAAACGAAAACTCTAAAAAATTTTGATGCCACAACTTGTGCAATGCAATCCTGTTCTGGGCCATTCTAACATAAGATCAGCGAGTTACATGAGTTCTTCTAGATAAAAAAAAAAAAAAAATTCAAATAGCAAACAGCAATATACACTGACAGGTAAAAAATTCCACCCACTTGATTTTTTCATGTTTTCATCTAAAAATATTTCTGCATTGGATTGGTCTATTGTTTTTAATGAATAAATAGGTAACCTTTTTTTTGTTTTCAATTAGGAATGTTAATATAGAGGAAAATAACCCTTAATCCTCAATTCAATGAAATGATTCTAGATTCCAATGTTTACTTTTTATGGAATCAAAATGTTTTATCAGTATCATTAGTTCAGTGCCGTTTCTTGCAGCACATTTCTTAGTCTCCGGCTTTTAATTTTTTCAATATTAAGTTTAAAAATACCTCTTAGTGCTGAGGATGTTGCGCGTGGTGTGGCACTTATTGATGATGGACGTTCCATTAGATATGCAGCTAATACCATCGGAGTTCCATATGAAACTTTACGAGACGCCGTCAGGCGTTTTTGGGAAACTGGTTCTTACAATAGAATAGGCCAATTACAATAGGCCCGGTTCTGGACGGCCTAGGGTAACAGAACCACGGGAAGACCGGTTTTTGACTAAGAGAATTTTACGAAACCGCCACCTTACCGTTGTTCAAGCGAATCATCAGCTCGAAGAAGTTCGAGGTGTGCAAATTTCTGAACGTACCGCTCGGAGAAGATTAAATGAGTATGGATTAATGGCTTTTCGTCCAGTAAGAGGACCAGAGTTGACCAGAACTCACAGAGTAACACGGCAGGCTTTTGCTCGAGAACATAGCCATTGGACTATGGACGATTGGAGTGCTGTACTTTTTCAGATGAGTCAAGATTCGCTCTTCGATCTCCAAACGGGCGTGAAAGGGTGTGGAGAAGAAGAAACGAAAGATATGCAGCCTGTAATTTTTTTCAGAGCCAACATTTCCAACGTGGTTCCTTAATGAGTAACAAGTGGGTGGAATTTTTTGCCTGTCAGTGTATACCATTTTTAATAATGAATTCAGGTGTTCAGGTTTTAATAATGATAGTTGACAGAAGAAAATGGGTTACTTCTTGAGTGAGCAGCTTATATATTAGTTGTGGAAATAATACTATGACTACAATGATAAGGTTACGATAAAAACTGATAAGGAATTTTCGCATTGTATTCCTTTAAATATGAGGAAAAAACCATAAGGAATCTCTTAAAAGGGACTAGAACATAACATAACAACTGGAACGGGCTCAGTCCAAAGCTTCAACAAATAATTTCTACAGAAATAAAAAGAAACTCTTGTAGATTGCCCAGAAGCTGATTGCAAACCTTCGTCAAGAATAAGTCGAACGGACATTGTCACTAACCTTGGGATTAGGAAGAAAGGTCAACGTGACGCCTCCTTTCGATTATTTGAGAATTGGGAAGGATTCAGTCCAGTCCTTAAAGGACTCAGTCGTATTGGGGAACAATTTGGTCCTTCAGATATCCAGCAACTATGTTCGACGGTGTCTCAAGGTGCGGTGTAGGTCTTGGCAGGAGGAATACCTCTAGACCTCCTGCTGAGAGAAGACTACCACCGGTGCAAGGAATAGGCGATGATCTAAGAAACTGAAAGAGGATCCTAAAGGAGGATACAGTAAAAGAGTGAAACGTGTGTTTAACGACTCCGAAAAGGGCTGCCCTTAAAAAGGACTTCCCCCAACGATGGATCGCAGATACTCGTAGAAGCGACTTGAATCGTCCTGAACTACTGGATCTCAAACATTTTTACGGAACATAGAGACATAGTCCGTGGTACATACCTCTTCTTATCAAGTTATTAATATCCGACTGAAACTTCGTAAATAGCTTCATCTTATCGGAATCTACAAATGTTTTATTTGCAAAAATCCTCTAAATTGGGACGTTTTCAATCTGGAGGTCGACAAACTTTGTCTATTTAATTAGGCACTAAAAAACTCATAAATATTCATTTGCTTTCCACTTGGATTGTAGGATAATTAGACCACAAAATCGATAAAAAAAGGTGGCATAGAAAAATCTTGGACCGTTTGGCCTATATAACTTCATTATTTTGACAATTTGGGGGTGTAGGTCACGCCAAACGGCTCAATATTTTTTAAGGCAACATTTATTCTCGACTTTGTGCTGAAGTTATTTTACGATTAAAGTGGTTAGCAAATGGGTATTAACGAATTTTTAGTATCTAATTAAATAGACAAAGTTTGCCAACCTTTATATCGAAAACGCTCCAATTTCGAGAATGTTCGTAAAAAAAATATTTGTAGATTACTATGAGATCAACAGATTTACAAAGTTTCAGCCAGATGTTAATAATTTGATAAAAAGGGTTCTGTAACACGGACTTAAATGGAGAATTTCGAACAAACCTTGTTAAGTATGGTGTAAACATCGATTCCCTATGCCCAAGTTGTGGAGTAGCGGAAACCCTGAGCATATTATGCTAACCTATATGGCATAGTCACTATGGGCGAAGCTGTTGGGGAAGATTGGTCTCTTTGTCCTAACAGAGAGAGATCTTCCTCAACTAACGGCCAGAGACAATTATGCGTACTTGAAGACCTGTATACATGAATGGAATTACGAGTCGTACTAACAACCAACTTCTATCTGGGAAGAAGAGGAGAAGTTGCAGGAGAGAGGTCGCCAAAAAGAAGTATAACAGAAGCAGACAAAGCAAAAATGAAATGAAGAGCAAACTGTGAGCACAGCTGAGGAAGAATAACGCAATAGATTAAAAATGCAGCAGTGGGTTGCTACGTAACAGTAACATCTCCCTCCCTCTCCCCCTCCCAGCAAATATCCGTATCGTCTAGAAGGCGGGGAGTGTTGAAAATAAATAACTTCAAAACTTAGTACGCTAAATATTTTGTTGAACCAAAAAATAACCAACAAAACCCTACATCACGACATTAATATTCCATTTGTCCTAGACCTTATAACTGAAAATTTTTCCAAATTCCATCAGAACCTTACAAATCATCCAAATCCCCTAGAACAATCCCTATCTAGTTTCACTCATCCCTACAATCCTCCTCGAAGGTTGAAGCGGCATTGGCCCAGAGATCTTTAATAGTATATATCTTGGAGTTCTGACAATGGCCAAATTCTAAACTCAAGACATGAATGTATGTGGCTAAAGCGCTCTCGCTCAATCTCAACTGGCTTAATTTTATTTATTTTTATTTTTCTCCTCATCCTGTCTTTAAGACAATACGGGAGTTTGCAGCAGTGACATGATACACATTGTATAACAAATCATTGTTGCAAGTTTATCTTTTTACATTTTTAAATTGCTGTGCACACAGCCTCCTTGATAATTTATCGTCCTCCATCTTCTTCTCCTGTCCTAATCAGCGGCCTTCCAGGTACTGCTTCTTCACGCCTTCCCAGGGAGAAGTGGATTGGGCCCACAGTTTTTTTCCACCCGCATACAAAACTTTTAAAGTGCGGGTAGTTTTGTTCAGACATCAGTTGGGGTAACTGTCTTTCTGTTAGAACGAACAGCCCTGTATCCCTCATTAATTTGGCCCTCAGTGCCTCATAGCTGGTGCAGACTACAAGGATGTGCTCAGCGGTTTCAGGTACTCCACAAGTGGGGCATAAGGGATCGATATTTTTACCGTGTTTAAAAAGTTTCGCTCTGAAACCCCCATGCCCCTCAACTGGCTTTAGCACCAGTGACGCGGTTGAGTAGGATCTCATGGAGTCCTGCTTTTCCCTCTATTGTTGGAGGGACAAGCCTGGCTTGGGGTTCCCTATCTCATTGTGTACATTGTATATAGGTATGACTGAGCTTTTATGTTTTTAATTTATTTATATTTAGGTTATTTTACTTTTTATTGTACATAGTTGTTTGATTATTGTTATTTTACTTTTGTTAATTATATGTTTTCGTGTATATATGGTGTTAATGTGTTCATATCTCACTATAATTATTGTCCACGTGACAGATTAATATATTTCTAAATAACTATTTAAAAAAATGTATATGTTTTTCTGTAATAATAGAGGTGTAGCAATCTTTCCCGTTGCCTTCAAGATAAT